AAGAACCAGAAGTGATGGTGTGTTGGAGCTGGCAAAGGAACTCGGTTTCAAGGCCCCCAGTGTTCTTAACCACCAGGACTCTCCGTCATCAAGGACACAGGGTCGCAATATCACGCAGCAACAAGGTTAGTGGACCAACATACCCCAGGTCCACTACCAGCAGAGGTGTCCAAAGAGGCCCTTACCATACCCACCACCTACCACGAGAGTGAAAATAACTTCACAGGCGCCAGAAGAAAGGTGAAGATGTAACCACATATGCGGTATGTACAGAGAAATCTTTTAGAGCACACATAGCGCTTTTGAGTGGGCCTCGATAAAACATAAAAACTAACAATCCGTTTTAAATTCCCATTGAGAAACCATTAATATGACTGAACTTACCTCTATGCGACAACTGGTGCTCATAGTGGGAGGCAATGTGGTTGTTTGTTTTGAACAGCTCTCGAACCAAAACGTACACAATGAAATGTATTCCTTTGGGCATGGAGAATCCAAATACAGGAGGTTAAAGAAAAGCTGTCACTTTGTTGGGCAAATGAGTTGGGACACGCACACACAATAATCTTTACCTTACCTGATATTGGGTTCTTTGACGAGCAAAAAGAGTATATTACCCATGATGTTTTTGTAACATCGTCGAGGTGGGAATGCACGTGTATCGCCCAGTCATCTCATGCAATGTGACACACTCGACTTTGCTTATATAGTGGACTCCAAGGATTCCTCCTTTAGTGTCAAAATTTCCAATTTTTAGAAAATTATTAACTTTTGGAATTATTTTCCAAAGTGCAAGCATATATATATTTTTATATGTTGTCGATGTTGATACCCAGTCAATTCTAGTTTTCACTGCGGATTTCGAAGCCAGGAAATTTATATACTGGAGTAAGGGGATTCCCCTCCTTACGTCTCGATGTCGATACTAGTATTCACTGCGGATTTTCCAGAGTAGGACGATCTTTCTGATATCAGGAGCAGCGGTACAAAAGACATGTGACCATTCACTGGGTCAGTTGTTTTCAGTTGCATTAAATGATGAGCTTGTTGTTTTGAAATGTGGGCTTATTGAGTTATCTTTGATATTTCAAATCATTTTGTATAAAATAGAACAGACACATTCTGTTTGCATGCCTATACGAAGTTAGCAGTCACTCACTCACTCACCAAGGGAGGGTGGTTTACGCCATGAACATAAGATATATTTCATCCTCGGTTCCTACGATATGATCAACATTTTAATTGATAACTACCCATGACGAGAGTACATTACACAGCACAAAGTATACCACAACACACAATGACCACGTCAGAAGGTCTAACCTAAACTGGGAGTATGCTGGGTATGCTTGGCACAACATCCCCTACAGAGAGTCCTCCCTTGCAGAGTCACATGACATCTGTCCACCCAAATCGTCCGTAATGTTTATCAAAGTTTCAGACTGTAAGTATTACGCAACTGTTAACAAAGCGATCGTGCTTGAGACGAGACTGTCAGAGTTGCCTTCGGATTCTCGGATTGCTTTGTGGCAGTGTAGCCAGCAACATCTTAAAACATGACTATACATCTCTGACATCCCCCCTTGTGGTATAATTGCATTATATTTAACAGTGTCGTAATATGAATATATGCACCTAATTTTATGATGCATTATGGAACACTATTTCCTGAGGAAATTCAACATTAACTTAAATAAAGTATATATATATATATATATATATATATATATATATATATATATATTGATTATAATGTATTTGAAAACTAAAGAATTGTTTTAAAAAACTTGATTATGTGCCTTTAACCATGTATGAATGCTCACAAATATACATGTATCAAGTCACATGTCAGTCCGAAGATCCGACATGTATCAATCGAGTATCTATTTAAAGATGATAACAATATAAAGCATGCCATAGAAAATACTGAGATGTAGAGATTCAGTTACACCTCAGTTTATTCACTTTGATACACTCAGGTCGAGTTTACGTGGCACTGTTCTGTGATATGATCTTTTCTATGATAACATGTTCGTTGCAATAGAATTCTGAGGTATTCTAATTGTTTTACTGTCCATTGTCGACAATTTTAACCTACATGTACTGCTTGGAAATGTATAAAATATTCTCGTCAGTTCTTTTGTCTATTATGTTTTAGAAAGCACTTGAATATCACTTTACCATTGCTACCACCGTGAGGTGTTTATCTTTGGAATTATTTGTACAGTCTTTGTCATAAGGATTTCCTTTTGGCTATTTTTGAGTGCAATGTCACACATCATTCTCAATCTAAATTATTTTAATAAATATCAAATATCTTAATAAATGCCAGTTATGTGGAAATAAATAGGGATCACCTTCAAGCATGGTGCAATATTCCTTAAATTTTATAAACTTCATGCTATCGACCAGTATAAACAATCTATGTGAGTTATGACGCGTGTTTGTCGTCTATCATATAATGAGCAGATAAAATGACACCGATGTAGGCATCTTGCAACATAACGGGTATATCTTCTGACTCTCAATTTGAAGATTAATGATGATGATTTTAGGTATAGATTGTTCATGTTAAATCGGTATATATCAGCCTTCACCACACAATGGAGATATGTGCCTGTCGTTTCCATGAGTCTATGGGCGTTTCAAGTTCACCCGATGATTTAACGCGAAGTCGTAAAACAGTTCGGTCAATCTGTGACGCTGACTTCGTGGAGGATATTAGAAACCAACAATCCGACAATCCGACAGTCCGACATTGAATATGTTGTATTATCGATAACTGGGCACTGATTGTTGACTGTTATACGACTCACAATGACATTTCGTAGTATGAGTTTGTGTGGTGTATATATAATAGAACTCATCACGCTCTCACAAACACAGGCATGCTCACATGGCTGTTACAATATCACAATGATTTGTTTGAGAGGCAAGAATGTTTCCGGGTTGTTGGAGTAGGGATATTACAGAGGACAACAAAGTAGGTTATTTATAACATTTATTCTCCAGACATACACATGCAATCACAATGTTATATACGGGGAAACAATTGCTGTACATGTGAATAGTATCCAGATATGGTTGCATATGAAAGGAGGTTTATTTTCACGACAAAGGGAGACAGTACTGGATTAGAGAATACTACTGATGTATAATTTACTTCCATTGCATATTTGTGATTCAAGTTTATGCAATTCTGAAAGCTAGAAATGGGATAATCTAAGCACATCAATTAGTGATGTATACATAATAGTACACATGATGCATACCCGAGTGCACAGGCATACCCGAAACACACACACGCACACACACACGCACGCACGCATGCACGCACGCGCAAGCATACACGCTCACACTCACACACATAGACACATGGTTACATACACAATGTCGTCATAAATGCATGAGGCACGTGAAGCATATCTAGACCTACCTTATATCGGGCTCTTGTTTTTGTGTCTGTCGAGGTGAAATGCCCAGTCATTTAATGCTACGTGTGATACACACGGTTGCTTATATACTGGAGTAGGGGATTCCCCTCCTTGCGTCTCGAAGTCGATACTAGTATGCACTGCGGATTTTCGTGGTATACCTTTCGATCTCGTGTCTAAGTCAGTGTAAAAAATCGTCGTTGAAAATGGTCTCTGAACGAGAGTGACGGTCGCTGAAGGAGAAATGGTGATATTTATATAGGGCTGCCGTGGTTGGGCAGTGAGTGGATGCGTTGGAACAGTGTTGACGCAGCGGCTGCAACACCACTACAACGTTGAATTCAGTCTCATTCTATTTTTTCTGTATTCCTAAGATGTTCATCTACATTTATTGTGCAGACAATACCCTTCGATCTCGTGTCTAAGTCAGTGTAAAAATCGTCGTTGAAAAATGGTCTCTGAACGAGAGTGACGGTCGCTGAAGGAGAAATGGTGATATTTATATAGGGCTGCCGTGGTTGGGCAGTGAGTGGATGCGTTGGAACAGTGTTGGACGCAGCGGCTGCAACACCACTACAACGTCGAATTCAGTCTCATTCTATTTTTCTGTATTCCTAAGATGTTCATCTACATTTATTGTGCAGACAATACCTTTCGATCTCGTGTCTAAGTCAGTGTAAAAAATCGTCGTTGAAAAATGGTCTCTGAACGAGAGTGACGGTCGCTGAAGGAGAAATGGTGATATTTATATAGGGCTGCCGTGGTTGGGCAGTGAGTGGAAGAATGTCTGCAGGACGACAATCCCACAGTCCGCCAGTCCGACAATCCGACATAGTATATGACGTTTCGTGTGTTACACAAGATACTATGATGTTTGTGGAGGAGCAGTAGATGGACAGAAAAACTAATTCATATCATGCTACTCATGCAGCATTTAGTACAGAAAGGGCATTTTGATGTATGTGGGTTTGGAACATAGGAGACTCAACAGGGAGCGATCAGGTTGCTGTGTTTGCCATATTAATAGTCGTGATCTTGAATGAAATTAAATGGGATATTTGAGCTCCATCAGACTGCACTAAGATATATGAAACAGCCTCAAAGATACAACACGCACATTAATCTGATCAAAGTAATACTATATTGTTTAACATCATTAAATATATCCATTTTGATAATGTCAGTAGCTTCCAAGGTCCCCGTTTTTAGACAGGCTGCGTAAATGTTATGAAACATCAGAGAAAAAAAAAAGGGAAACTACTGTACCACGACGAACTAATTGAGGTTCCGACAAATCCCTGAGGGAAAGCATCAAAATCTGACGTCATTATTTTGACACACAATCAGCAAAGTCACAAATTCTTACCACCTGATCCTCTCCGGTTGTGTCTAGCAGTAACGACAGGATATTGGGGATGGACTCTTTACCCTGGTAGATATAATGTTATAACATCTCGTGATCATCATCCGGGACAGATGGAACTACGACAGATGGACTTTCAAAACTACACAGAGACTAACATAGACATATTATACCCACGTTCAATGATGAAATATACGAGAAGGTTATAGTTGAAACAACAATATTTATTCTTGAAACATAAGTAGGCATCAGACATGAATGATATGAACATGATCATTGCAATTGAGCTGTGAGACCACACTGTTGCTCTAGCCCAACTACATGTGACAACACAAAGCCCATGGTGACTGTAGAATGGTTAGTATGTCCTCTACTTCAAAGGTACGGCCACTTTTTCACTTAGTAAGCATGAAGAAGGTCTACAAATAAAGTGAATGTGGATGTGAAACTTTGTATTGTTCGATGACAATGACATTGAGTCCAAGTTCGATTCCAACCGACTCAATCCACATCCCGATATCATTTGGCACCAGACTGCGCTGTTTCTTTGACACTCTCTCAAACCATTAATTTGTATAATCAATTACTGGGTGCTGATCGTTGACTGGTACACACCGCTGGTACACCACACACAGCACAATCCAACACACCACATACCACAATACAATAACATGCATGAAATCTAGCACAGTGCAATGCAATAAAAAATAGAACTACACAATACAATACATAACATATAACACGAAATATACATGGCAATAAAGACAGAATCGTGCCTTAGGTTCAATATAAATTCTACTAGAGACATGTGAAACATGCATTTTATACTGAATGCATACACTTACTTTATATGGGTTGAGCAGTGAGTCACTAGTACAAATACGTGAGAGTTCCTCAAGAGCACAAGTAATGAAAACGGTGTTTAGTTAAGTCGTGATTCCACGTTAGGGCATCATGTCCAGTAATCTGAGTAAATTTCAAAGTGGATAGTTTCTTCTTGAAAAGATACCAAGTTGCTTGGCTATGAAGAATAAGACGTCTAGTACTGAAGAATGTTGAGAATGTCTTCCCACTCCATCGTACATCTGTCATTGCATCTCCACAATGCTCTGACGAGGACCAGGCCAGTGGCGGATCTGCCGTTCTTCTCCTTCCACTTGGTCAGCATGTGTACAACCTGCATATACAGTGAACGTGGGTGTGCAACTTTGATTTGCTCCATTTTAACGAAAGTAAGTCCCAGCTCGATCCCGACAGACTCGTATCCTATACCAATGTGGCTTCCAACACGACTGAGTTCTCGTGCAGATACAGGTGTATCCAGTTGGTCTTCAGTTACAGCAAGTGCGTGGCTCCATGGTGTTTGCCCTACAAGAATCAAATCACAATAAGCATAGTCTGTACCAATACGTGTGCGTTTTATGTATTAGATTGACATTCAAAATTCACATAAGTTAGTGATTTGTTATGTATGTTAAAGTCGGAAAGAAATAGTAGAACATGTAGCTAATAGACCGGTATGTATAAAGAAAACATTTCGGGAGTACACATAAACCGACTGGACCTGATAAAACATATTAAACAAACAGTCCGTCTTTTAATTAAAAGAAACCATTAATACGATTGAACTTACCTCCATGTGCCAACTGGTGTTCATACTGGGAGGCAATGTGGTTGTTTGTGTTGAACAGTTTCTGGAACCAAAACGTACAAAATGAAATGTATTCCTTTGGGCATGGAGAATCCAAATACAGGAGGTTAAAGAAAAGCTGTCACTTTTTGGGGCAAATTTACAGACACAAACAAACACATGAACTGTGACGCAAAGACAGTCCAGTAGTGAGACACGTCTAGACCTACCTGATATCGGGGTCTTGGCCAGCATGAAATGTTACCCATGATGTTGGTATCTGTCGCGTTCAAATAATGAATGTGATATAGTTGCCTTCGCGTTTACTTATAGACTGTAGTGGGGATTCCCCGTTTGCTTGCACATTCTTGTGCGCCTTGATGTCCGGTGCGGATTTTCGGATTCTAGGAACCAGGACGATCTTTCTGATATCAGCGGCGACGGTACAAACGCATTCACCAGTCACTGGGTCAGTTTTTGTTGTTGTATTTATACTGGGTTTGTTCGAAGTGTAGGCTCATTGAGTTAACTTTGATATTTCCCGTCATTTTGTAGAAAACTAAAAAGGCACTCTGCATGCCTCTAAGAATGCACTCTGTCACTCACTAAGGGTGGGTAGTTAACGCCATAAATATAAGAAATATTCCATCCTCGGTTCCTACGACATTATCAACATTTTAATTAATACCTACCTATGACGAGAGTACATTACACAACACAATATACCACAACACACAAGGATCACGTTAGAAAGTCTACCCTAGACTGGGTATGCCGGGGTGCTGGGTATGCTCGTCAAGCTGACGCAACATCCACCTACACGACCCTCTTGCAGTCACATGACATTACTCCACCCATACTGTTCGTAATGATTATCAAAATGCCCGACTGTAAGTAATATGTAACTCTTAACAAAACGATCGTCCTTGAGAAGTCAAGGGTTGCCCGGATTCTCGGATTGCTTTGTGGCAGCGTAGCAACATCCTAAACGGAACTACACATTCAGTTGTGGTAGTGTATATGTTTAACAATGGCGTAATGTGACTATATGCACCTCTTTCTATAATGCATTTGGAACAATACTTACGAAAAGTATATTATATATATATATATATATATATATATATATATATTGTTTATTATGTATTAGGAAACTAAAATGACTCTTTTTAAACTGATTGTGTATCTTAACCATGTATGAATGTGCACAAATACAAATGCACACAATGTTAACCTCCAGTCCGAAAATCCGACATATGTCAGTCAAGGCTATAAATAAACATATCGCTAGATGACTGTAATCGCCATTGTGTATACACAAGTACATGTGACACTGGGAAAGGGCTTATCCTCACTTTGCCACCAGGTCACCAAGGATAACTAAATTGGTGAATATGAAAATAATTCAATGAAAGAATTAGTATTATTTAATTGTTTAATTGGTGATTAGTTATCATATGAGGAGTTCATTCCAAACAGTTGTGGTGGCAGACGCTTTGTGTATTAGGGTTTCAAGTACTGGGAGAAGAGAACTAGAGGTACCAGCATACACTGGAAATGCTGTTTATTTACTTGTCAAGGAACGATAAACACTACTTTTATCAAGTAAAAGAAAACACGTACATCATTGAAGCAAGATATATGTTTGGTGATATATGAATTATATTAGTGTTCAAACAACCAACTGTATAAACAACCCGTTCTTGTTATTTCAAGTGATACACGAGCCAGCCTGGTATTCACAAACCATTGCATTTCTCATAGCATTCAGAATTTCACTTTATTTCCCTGTTATCATACATCTCACTATTACCTCAATCTGTCCCTTTCGAACATCGTGTTCACATGTGTTAAGTTTAAACAATTGTTAAGGGTCCAGCGTAGACAATGTACTATCAGTCGTGAGTACTGAAGGAATACGTTTGCAGAAAATCTAGCTGATCCAAGGGAGGTCACTCTTCGGATTGGGAAAAGCGATTTGGGGAACACTTCCAGCTAATAATCACTTTTTATGTGGTATGAATCGGACGGTAATTTTGATACAGACATGGATACACCTTTTGCGAACGTCCATGCTATAATGATAGGAGTATGTCAGAAAGAGTATAAGAAAAGTGGAAATATGTTCGGCAACAGACTTCATTTTCACCTCTCGAATGCTCGATGCAAGGGATAAAAAGATATATCACACTTGTCATACAACATGGTGCAGAGGTTGCCATGCATTTCTGATTTTTCTCTGTGCGTAAGCAAAGTGGTGTGAGGAGTGTCTCATAGATCAGGTGTTGGGTTTGTCATATAAATTCCATGTCAAGCTATTTATAGAATGTAAGAGAGGATATTATTCAATGCGTGGTACTTAAAATCGGATACTCGGAAGTTCGGCCACGAGTACAAATGTATAGGTACATCTAAGGGAACAGCCAGCACGATACGACTACTAGTAAATAGTGTGACTTAGTAAACTGGCTCTAATTCGGCGTTATTTAGACGTTGATATGGTTTACCGGTTCATTTTTAAATAACATATATAAAAGACATGTTCATGTCTCTCTGTCCATGCATTAATGGTGTGCATCTATGGGTACATGTCGCTGCTCAACACAACCTGTTAGCACCACATGTGAAACGAAACAACCTTCGACCAGTCGTATATCCTTACCAGGAAATAGTCTCACATATAAGACACAGTAGTTGTATCGAATCAGCAAAATCGTTATGATTAATCATTCTGAAAGATACTACGATCGCCAAATCTTGTATAATAGTATTTTAAAAGAGAGACAACAGTTGACAATACACTTCTTCTCCTTCCACTTGGTGAGAATGTGTGCAACCTGCTTGTACAGAGAACACTGGTGTGCAACTTTGCCTTGCTCAATTGTAAGGAGGGTAAGTCCAAGCTCGATCCCGACAGACTCGAACACGATCCCCAAGTGACTTGCAACACGACTGAGATCCGCCCTTGAAACAGGCTGCTTTAATGTTTCCTCATCTGCATCTTAAAGCAAGGTGCAACATGAAGGACCAAGAAAATATGTTTAAATACATACTTTGAAAACAGTAGGTAAAAATGATTAAATCATGATTATTTCTCTGAACGATGACAGTAATGTTTACATGAAATGTAATAGTTTCAACGTAGTCATCCAGCGAGTATAACAAGTAACATTTAAAGTAACGAACCCAGTATAGTTGTTGATTGATTGCAGGGACGTACCACCTCAGTGGCTAATCTCTGGAAGAAAACGTAAACGTCTTTCAACCCGTAAATACAGTTTTCCCACAGGCACATGATATACGAGTTGATTGTCTCTATGAAGACCCAGGTTTCTACAGAAATGAGTGAGTCCACTTGCAAGTAGGGTAGGTAAACTGGGGTGTAGGTGAAATGAGACTGTAGGGGTAAGGGTGTAAACCTTTGACAATAGTAGATATGAATGATTTAATCCTGATTATCTCTCTGAACGATGACAGTGATGTTAACATGACATGTGATATCAGTAACGTAGTCTTCATCTAGCGAGTTTAACACGTAACATTTACGAACCCAGTATATTGTTATCGATTGATTGGAACGTACGATCCCAGAGTCTACTCTCTGTAAAGAAGAGTAACCTGCATTCAGACTGTAAATATTATATTCCCAGATGTACATGATATACGGGTTCGTTATCAATGCAAGTGTGTAAATGAAAGGGGGTATTCTATAATAGTGACCCTGTAAGGTTTGGAGTCGTTGTAACACTATGTAAGTTGCATCAACCCGTGTCCGATAGATGATGGGGATAAGATGGGGTTTATCACTATGCTGAAGATCAGGAGGGGACACCCCACGGTGTCTGCACCTATTGCCCAAGGTAGAGATACAGTCGGCCATGATAGATGGGTGAAAAATGGGGGCATTAACTATAGCCTGTTGCAGTAAGAAGACTTAAAAGAAACTTAAAGAAAAACTCCTAAAATACTTCAAGAGCAGTGGTATGACGCGCGTACCCCGAGAAACATGGGCCAGCTACTATCCACCGTACACAACGTACACAAACAGATAAATAAAAGGATCGTGAAAGAACTGTCTAAGACGTCCCAGATACCAGAGTCCAGGCCAACATCGAAGAACATTACCCATGTTGTACGTTTTCACTATCACTGATAATAGTAAATAGATGAGTCTAAACTGAAATGATAAATATAACCTGTGTATTGTCATAAGTGTATGTCTCTAGCCGATTTCGGATTTTGGATTCTAGTATATGATTTCGGATTTCAGACGATATGACTGACTTTTATGGATATTGACAGATTTATCAGGCGTTGGTTATTGTGTGTAGTCATGTTACATTAGCTTGTCCAGAAATGACGAATTATTAGATCAGTATATTCTTGTGACACGGGCAATAGATTCAGACAATTGTGTATTTGTTATGTCTTTCAGCCGGGATGTACAAAAAGTATAACAGCCAGTACCTGATTCTCTGGGAAATTGTCACTTGGTTGACACATGTCATCGTGCCCCACTTGCGTAGATCGATGCTCATGCCGTTCATCACTGGATTGTCTGGTCCAGAATCTATTATTTGCAGAAAGCCGCCATATAGCTGGAATATTGCTGAGTGCGGCGTAAACCTAATCTCATTCACTCAGGGCAATTGATATGAGACGTAACGTCACTGGTCAAAACTGCTAATTTGATGAAAATGATTTATAATTTTCTTACACACATGACCAAATCTTGAAATGTTGAAACGTAACAGGTGTACGTTTCATAAAATGCATAACAAACAATTTTATTTATGCAGCTGTATGCAGAATGTTATTGACATAATATATTGTCCAGTACAAATAATCTTACTTTTATTAAAGATACTGAAATAAATTCACAATAAATTTTAATTCCACAACATATAGATCTGATATGCATCGTTATCAATAAAAAGTACTTTAGGCAACAGTGTTAACGGTGTGGAGAGAGAGAGAGAGAGAGAGAGAGAGAGTCTTTATTTCCTCCAGACGATCATCCGAAGATCAAACATATTATATACATGTAGATACAACAAACAGGCAAAGTTACAAAATTGATATAGATGTATATACAATTATATTAATCAAGATGAATACCTAAAGCTACAATTTACATAAGAACATACATGTATAAGTGTATACAATTATTTTATACAAGAAACAGTGGACATATATCATTATAAATCTGCAGAGATCAATCAGTGTAACATTGTAGGAGATGTCGTCTTATTCGGTAAATGTATAAAGAAAATCGTAAAATGATTGTTTCCCATGTCCCTTGATCAACAGTATCATTAAAAACAGTTTCACCTCCAAATAGAAAAGAGAGCATGTCGAGTTCATCCTGTGATTCAAAGGCAACATAGGT